GAAGAAGGAGCTAAAAAGAGGTATAGAAAGGAGGGTAGGGGTATAAGGGGAAGTAAAAGTAGCGATAGCTTCTTATAGAGGTAGTAAGAGATAAGATAGATATACCGGTAACGGCTAGAAAAGAAGGGAAAAACTAGTAAAAAGCTTAGTAGTTAAAAGGATATTAATAGCTTCTTTAAGTAAGATCTTCTTTATTAATAAAGATACTAAATAGGTTTAAAAAGGGGCGTTAGATAAAGGAAAGAAGGATAATTAAGGTAATATAATAATTACTCCCTTACTATAATTACTGCCCTTATAAGAATTAAATATCTCTACCCTACCTATCTAACCTATTACTTTTACTTTTACTTTTATAAATTTTATATATACTTCTTATATCTCTCTTTATAAGAGTTATAAGCTTAAGAGGAATAGAATTCCTATATATTCCTTCTAGCTACTATAAAAAGCACCTTTCTTATATCCTTTATAGCTTCCTTTTACCCCTCTTACTAGAAAAGCCGATTTTTAACCGACTTTTCTATCCTTCCCCTATAATAATATCGAAAAACGACTCCTCTACTATCCCTATAGTCTATAAGACGATTCTTATAAAGCCCTAAGATTAAGATAAGTAGGTAAAGGAGCTATAGGCTTATATAGATAGAACTATTTATAATTTAGTCTTCTTTAATAAGTAGGTCCCTCTTAAGCCCCCTCTTTATCCTAAGGTAATAGAATTTATAAAGGAGCTTCCTCTTCTAAGCTAACCTCTATATAGTAAAGAGCTTTTTCTACTACCTTAAGTAACTATAAGAGTTATTATAAGGAATACCTTTATAAGATAAAGCTACTAACTACTACTTATATAGTAATAATAGAATCCGTTAGTACTATAAAGCTAATCTCTCTTTAAAAGAAAAAGACTCTTAAGTAATAGCTTTTAAAGCTTAAGACCTTAATAGCTCCCTTAAAGGGCTTATAACTAACCTTATTAGGAAGACTTATATAGTATACCTAGGAGCCTTTTTTACTAGGAACCTACTAGCTTCTTCGTAGCTAGCTAAGTAAGAAGAAATCCTTAAAGAAGCTAACTAATACTTCTTAATAAAAGCTCTTTCTAGCTAGTAGCTATAGGATATATCTCTACTAATAAAGCTTATTAGTAACGGTTACTTAACTATCTTTCGAAAAGCTAGCCGGGAACTAAATAAAGAGGCTACTAAAGTATAATAGTAAGTAGTTTTATTCCTTTATAGCTAGCACTCGACCTAGACGGTTCGACCTACTACCCCTATAGCTACTATAGCCCTTATTACTACGGCCCCTACTACTGCTACTACGGCTATTACTCCTCTAGCTCTTCCTCCCTCGAGAGCCTTAACCCTATTTTTAATAGCTGCCCTAGTCCTAGCCCTAGCTCCGCCTCTTACTCCGGGCCCGGCCCTGGTCCTATTAGTTAGACCGGCCTAACTAGTCCTTTAATAGACCTTTTAGTCTATTAGTTAAAAAATTAAGGAACTAGTTAAAATCGAACTTCGTTAAAATTAGTAATAAGGGGTAAAAAGGGGGAGCTTTTAAGTAGACCTTTTAGATTAGGATAAGGATTCCTTAAAGAAATAAAAGACTAGACGATAAAATAGCTGCTTAGCTTATAAATCCCTAGGCTATTAGTTATTATAATACTAGTAGGTCTTTAAGGAAAACCGACCTAAAGAGGTTAACCCTTTAAAAAGGCTATAAGAAATAGTATAATAGTCTCTTAAAGAGGACCCCTTATTATAGAAGAAGATAGATAAGATTTAGGTTACTAAGAAATAGTAACTAATAACGCCGCTGCCTTTATTTAAGCCGTAAATTTAAGGAAATATCGTTAGTATAGTAAATTTAATATTCGTCTTTCCTATAGATTAGTAAGACTACTTATTAGGACCCTCTAACTATCCCCTATAAAAATTAGCTATCCTTAATTTTAGTACTTCCCTTAATATCTATAATATACTTTTATAATTTTAGTTCTTTAAGAAGGTATAGAGGGAATATCTTATTACTAAGGAATTAACTATATAGATAGAGGGATATAGAAGGGTAAATTTTACAATAAAATTACTTAATAGGTCTATATAAATTCTTTAATAAAAAAGGGTAGCTTTTTACCCTTAATTTTTAACGAGCTTAATTTCCTTCTACCTACTTTAAAAAGAAGGAATCGTCTAGGATATAACGTCTAAGCCTATAAAGCTAGTTAAAAGAATTAAACTATTAGACTTATTAAGGAGAAATTCGGTTAATTTATTCTTAAATTCTAACCTATCCTTAAAAAGGAATCTCTAGAGAAGTTAGCTTTCCCTACTAAAAGAAATAGGTCTACTATAAAGGACCCTCTTTTAGTAGCCTAAGGAGACGGTCTTCTTTAGTATATATAACTTAGTTACCTAGGCCCCCTAGCTTTATATAAGCTAGGCTAATAATAAGGCGTTTAAATAAAGGGCCTAAAGACCGTTAAATATAAATACTATAGCTAAGGAAAGACTAAGAGACGAATTTCTAGACGAACCCCTTTATAGCCGGACTAGCTATATAAGGAAATTTAGGTCGACTAAACTAATATCTCTAGGGATTAAGAAAGCTTCGTTAGGGTAATATTTTTTATAGACGCCTTTTTAAGGATAGTTTTCCCTTATTTTTTATAGACCTACCTAAGTAAGTATAACTAGTCTACCTTCTAAGACTTCGTTAACTAAATAAAATCCTACTTTAGCTACGAGGTAAAGAAGATACGGTTTAATAGAGAGCTATTTATAAAGTATATCTTAAATTAGCTTCGAAAAAAGAGTATTTTACCCCTCTTATTAATACTAAATACCTAGGCCTAGAACGGAGGGGTAGAAAGATTAGGGGGTACTATAATAAAAAGGGCCTATATAATAAGACTTACTATAAAGCTTCCTTATAACCTTTAAAGGGAAGTCGTTAAGACTGCCTATTACCTATAGAACTAGACCCTTAGAGGGACTACCTAAGGAATAAACTAGAAATCCCCTCTTAAGCTCTTTATAAAAAAGAGGGCCTTACTAAGCTACCTTTATACCTATAGCGATAAGGTATACGCTATAACTACCGATATATAGCTAAAAAGGAAGAAGAAAAGAAAGCTTAATCCTAGAGCCTTTATTAGTTACCTTATTAGCTATAATTCTATAAATATCTTTTAGATTTAGATTCCTCTTTTATAAAAGGTTATTTCGACTAAGGATATAATTTTCGACGAATCTAGCTTCTTTAATAAAAAGAAGTATTAATAGCCCCTCTTACTCTTATAACGTTAGCTAATTTAGAAGATTTAAATTCCCCCTTCCTAATAGTCTTAAAAAGAGGTCCTAGATAAGGAAACGGAAGAAGATATCGACGTCGAAGTAGTTAAGGATAACGCCGATTTTAAAGAAGAAGAAGAGGAAGCTACTAGATTAGATAATCTAGATAAAGAAGGAGACTATAGGAAAGCGGTAGAGCTAGAATACGCCTATCTCCCTATGCCTCCTCTTATATAAGAAGAAGATCTAAAGTAGCTTTTTTAGTTAGTCTTCCTATCTCGACCCTTAAGGGGGTAGGAAAGGTACCTCTCTTAAAGGATTACCTAGCTGCCTTTTTATCCTTACTTTAAGAAGTAAAGGAAGGTATAGGGCCCGATATAAAAGAAGACTAATTTCTCTCTTATTTTAATTATTTTCCGACTTTTATTTAACGCCTATAAAAGACGGTTCCTATTAAATATAGCTAATTAAAAGAAAGGATTTTAAAAGACTCTTAGCTAAATAAAAATTTAGTTTTAAGTAAATAGTAATACTTTATTATAAATCTTAACTATAATATAAAGTATTACTATTTACTTAAAACTAAATCTTTATTTAGCTAAGAGTCTCTTAAAATCCCTTCTTTTAAGTAGCTATATTATACCTTAGTTATTAAAGAAAAACCTTAAGTATTTTAAAGTACTTATTTTATATATCGCGCTTACCTTATATAAGGGTAAACTTATATAATAAGACCCTTTTTAAAGAGGGACCTCTTTCTTACTAGCTTAAGCGCTTAAATATATTATTTTATAGTTAAAGCTATCTAAGGGTTTTTAAGGATTTTTTACTAAAGGAATAGTTTAAAGATAGTATATATAAGATAGAGTCTTACTATTTATATAGATAAAATTCTCTATTTATATAAAGTTAAGCACCTAAACTTAAAGTACCTTAAAGTTACTTTAAGGTACTGCCTATACTTCCCTTAGCTGCCTTACCTAGGTACCTACTAAGAAGGCCTCGATTACGAATAAGCGCACCCGAGTACCTAAGCTAGTAGGGGAGGGGTCCCCCTTAGGGAGAGGCCCTACTATATGGGTTTATCCCCCGCGCGAGGTAAGTACGACGTGTAAGATCGCGACTTTTAAGGGACTTAAAAAATACACGAGGTAGAGTACTAATTGCTAAGCGGATTAAGCTACTAATTTAAAGAGAGGATTTTAAGAAGTTCTATATAAATAGAGAAATATATCTATATAAATAGTAAGACTTATAAGATATTAATATAAGATATTAAGGTACCCTGCCTTTACTAGTATTAGCTAAATAAAGATTAAGTCTTAGGTAAATAATAATACTTATAATATATAAATAGTAATCTTAAAGTAACTAGTATATATATTAACTAAATAGTTACTAGTAAGATAGTAAAACTACCTATTTAAAGATAAGATCTTAAGAGACTTAGCTAAATAGAAATCTAGTCTTAGGCAAATAGTATTTATTATAATAGGGACTAAAGTTAGCTAGTCCCAGGGACCCTTGGCCGGCGGCAAGTGAAATTCCGCCGGCACTAGGTAAATAGCTCCGTCCTTCATATCGACGCTTTTTGCACTCGGCCCACCAAGGGCTACACAGACATCGTCCCCGCGATCCATCGCCGGCACACGGCTTCCGTCCAAACTGCGCCCACAGCATCCGAGGCTGGCGCACACCGCAGGCATGGCGCAAATACAGCTGCGAGCGAAGGCTCTGCGGAGCTTTCGGGCTGCTGCTGCCGCTGCGCCGACAACGGTGCGCTGCTACGGGACCGAAATCGAGCCCGACAAGTCCAAGTCGCTCAGGCAGGGCAACGAGGCCAAGCTGGGCCGGTCGTTCCCGGGACAGGTCATGGGCAGCATCGGCGCGCGGCTGAGGAGGGAGAGGGAGCAACGCGAGCACTACGAGAAGTGGCGCGACCTGACGGATCCCGCCATGAACTGGATGACCACATTTAGTGAGTGCTCGAGGCCGCCGCCTCCCCCGGAGCTCACGACTGGCTAACCCGCCCGTGAGTGTTCCTGTCCAGCGTCGGCATCGCGTACTGGTTGGGCACCTACTGGCCGCGCGAACCGGACCCCGGCTCAACCCTCCCCCTGTCCAAAACGCGCAAGCCGCCTCACAATACCAAGCTGGAGAATATGCGCGCCGCCTGGGCCGACTTCATCAAGATCGTGGGCCTAGACAATGTCAGCACGCTGGAAACGGACCTCGAGCACCACGCCACGTCGGCCTGGTCGACGCATCGCCCCAAACCGGACGAAAAGCCCTTTTGCGTCGTGTATCCGGGCTCGACCGAGGAGGTCTCCGAAGTCATCAAGATTTGCCATGCGAGGAGGATCCCGATCGTTGGCTACAGCGGCGGCACGAGCCTCGAAGGCCACTACGCACAGACGAGGAAGGGCGTCTCCATCAACTTTGCGAGGATGAACAAGGTCTTGGCCCTGCACAAGGACGACCTCGATGTCATTGTCCAACCCGCCGTCGGATGGGAGTCTCTGAACGATGATCTGGCCAAGGAGGGCCTGTTCTTTCCACCCGATCCGGGCCCGGGTGCCATGATCGGGGGCATGGTCGGCACGGGCTGCAGCGGCACCAACGCCTACCGCTACGGCACGATGCGCGAATGGGTTCTCGGCTTAACGGTCGTGCTGGCCGACGGCACCATCATCAAGACGCGGCAGCGTCCCCGCAAGAGCTCCGCCGGCTACGACCTCACCAAGCTCTTCGTCGGGTCCGAGGGCACCCTCGGGCTCGTCACCGAGGCCACGCTCAAGGTCACAGTCAAGCCGCCGGCCACAAACGTCGCCGTCTGCACGTTCCCCACGGTGCACCACGCCGCCAGCTGCGTCAGTAGGGTCGTCGGCCAGGGCGTGCCCATTGCGGCCGTTGAGATCCTCGACGACAACCAGATGCAATACATCAACGCCGCAGGCATGACGTCGCGGTCCTGGGCCGAGGTGCCCACGCTCTTTTTCAAGTTTGCCGGCACCCCGGCCGGCGTCAAGGAGCAGATTTCCCAGGTGCAGGCCCTCGCGAGGAAGGCCGGCAGCAAGACATTTGAGTTTGCCAGGAACCAGGACGAGCAGGACGAGCTCTGGAGCGCAAGAAAGGAGGCGCTGTGGAGCGTCATGGCTGTGGGTCGCGAGGGCGATTCCGTCTGGACAGGTGACGTGGCGGTACCGATGAGCAGGCTGCCGACGCTGATTGAGGAGACAAAAGAGGACATGAGGAAGAGCGGATTGATTGGTTCCATTGTAGGACATGTGGGAGACGGAAACTTTCACAGTACGTCTGCTCTTGCGCCCTGCCCAAGGACGTGGTGCCACGACTGACTCGGGTGCAGCCATTTTGATGTACAGCGAAGCTCAGCGGCCAAGGGCGGAGATGGTGGTGCACAGAATGGTCAAGCGGGCCATTGAGATGGAGGGCACGGTAACGGTGAGGCCCGACGGGTGGTTACCCCCTGGAAATGCCGAGCTTGTACTGACACGCTGGATTACCACGGCACAGGGCGAGCACGGCGTCGGCCTGGTCAAGAGAGACTACCTGCCTCACGAGCTGGGCGAGTCGACGGTAGCCGCGATGCGCCAGGTAGGCATCTCCATGGACCGCTTCGCCCTGGCGATGCTCCGTCCCAGGTTGGGGGTATTTGTTAACATGAGCTGCAGATCAAGAAGGCGTTTGATCCTTTATGTCTGTTGAACTGCGACAAGGTGGTTCGGATGCAGAAGCCGAAGCGTGGCGAGGTGCAGGAGTGGTGAGATGGAGATGAGCACATACCACGACGGACACGGAGAGTCTGAGAGGGAAGTCTGAGGGGAGTCTGAGAGGGGAGTCTGAGGGGAGTCTGAGGGGAGTCTGAGGGGAGTCTGTCAAGGCCATTGGTTTGATATACATACTCTCGTGCCAAGCTGATTTGTTGATGCTGGCAGCTTGGCTAGTCTAGCCAGAGTTGAAGCATCTAGCCATGCGCATCCATCTGAGTTGTTCCTACCCCGAGGAACATGTAACTTAAGACTGGACCTTAGCCGTGTTCAGCAACGGGGTGCTCCGGGGTCAGCAGCTTGTGTGGCTGGTGACGCTAGCACTCGCCACAACAGCCCTTCTGCTGCGTCATGCCCCTCTCCCCCCCTTTCCTTCCCACATCGTCACATCACATGGCCTCTCTCAAGCCTGGGTCCCTGAAATCAGCTTTGGCCCGTGACTGACGGTAGCGCTCGTGCCGTTAGTCCTTGCGTTGCCTCCCTTGTCCTTTGCCATTCTGCTTCCTTTCCATCTTGGTCTTGCCAGTGTCGACAGCGAACCCGATCGAAACCCGGCTTTGCCCTGGACTTCGAGCTCAGGGGCCACGTCCGACGAGCCATTCGCCGTGGGGGCCTCCGCCGGTGAGAGAGAATCATGTCGCTGTTCACGGCGCAGCTGCATCCAGGCCGAGCGCTTGGGTTCCTAGGTAAGCCACGGCCCCTGGTCGACTTCCCGCACCATATGCTAATTTGCTCGACAGCCCTAGGAGCCTCTCTCCACGACGTCCTGACGCGCCTTAAGGCGGAACCGCAGCGATTTCCAAAGCTCGAGGTGCTGTACTCGCCCGAAAAGCCCGTCACCGAGCCCGTGTGCATCGTGCTGCCAAACAATGGCGTGCGCCTGCGCTTCGACGGGCCCGAGCAGCGACTGCGACTTATTGAAGTAACCGACTTTACAAAGAACCACATCACCTTCAAGGAGCGCGACCTGCTCAAGCCCGTGGCCAACGGCGCCTCGGCCCCCGGGTCCCCCGTGCCGGGCGACTCCTCGCTCGGCCCTACCTTTCGTCACATCTACCACCGACTGTTGGGCCCGACTTATGCTGGCGAGTTCATCCCCTCGCCGAGCGGGCAGGAGGATGGCATCTACGTGCTGTCGTACCCCGGCGTCGCCTTTAACTTTTCCCTCGCCGAAGCCAACTATTCTCCGGACAAGGACGTGGTGTCGCTGCTGTCGGCATCGTCGAGCCAGGTGGCGACGTCGATGGCCGTCTTCAACGGCGACTCGTGGGCCGAGGCTCGGCCGTCACTGTGGACTCTTGTATTGCCGATCGTCAAGTTGGCGTCGACGACTGCGCGTGCCAAGGACATGTATCCCGACGAAGTGTCTCTGGTGCGACTCTACGGGGGCGGCAAGGTTGACATGTTTCGGAAATGGACAGGCAACGCGTTTCGGCTTCAGCTGGGCGAGACGACGCCGCAAGAGCTGGTGACGGAGCTGGGGCCGCCGAGTGCCATCTACCGGAAAAACGACCAGAAGATGGTCATCCACAAGATGCGGACGGCGAGCAACGCGCGCAGTCGGTCCAACGCGGCGGACCTTGGACGGCCCGACGAGTTGACGGACACGGACCAATCTTCGATGAACACAGGCTCGGACGACTCGGAGGACAACGAGGTGATTGACGAGGAGATGGCGAGCAACCCTTCGGGTGAGTGCTTCTACAACTACTTTTATCTGGGGTTTGACATCCTCTTGTCAACGCCCACGGCTCCCTCGAGCGAGCCACCAGGGCCCACGGACGGGAGCGGGAACGCGATCAAGCCACACCACCCAGACCGGCTGGTGGCGACGAAGCTGGTGCTGCACGGCAACATCCCCGGGTGCTACGAGTTCAACCGCCACCGCCGATGCCGGTGGGAAATCGACTACGTCAACGAGGGCGACGAGGAGCCAGTGGGGTCCGAGACGGAGTTTCGGCACATCGAGTCGTGCATGAACGCGCGGTGGCAAGGGGCGGTGCCGGCGACGACGAGCAAGGCGGCACATCAGCCGCGGCAGAGGGGTATGGTCCTGAACCGCGGCTGGGGCGACAGTCCGGGCAGCAGCTGCGAGTTCCTGGGCGGGTGGGAGGAGAGCGGCGCGCGGCGGGCCGAGGCGAGCAGCGGGGGGGAGTCGACGACGACGTTGTACGGGTTCCCGGGACTGGTGTTTGAGGTGCTCAAGAATGACTATGTGAATACGGTGACTGTGTTTTGAGGTGCTCGGATTCGGCGGCGTGTGGAACGGGGCGTCGAGAGGGGGGAGGGAGGTTGGTTGTGGTTGGTCGCCTTGCCGGGCCTTTGTTTTCTCGAGGATACCATGGGTTTGCTTTTCTTTTGTCGGTCAACGTTGGCCTTTCGGATTAGCAATGCAACTACTGTACTGTAGACATTGCAGAACTGGATCATGGTAATCGGCACGCGAGTGGCTGAGTGTTTCCGTGGTAAATCCGAGGCAGAGGCTTGCCTTTGGTCGGGATATAGCGATAGTGTGGTAGGCAGGTTTGGGGCGTGGAAGAGTAATTATGTACTGTATGCACTTTGTTCTCGTCGGCGCTCGGCCGAAACGGGCACCGCGCGGTGGGTGAAGTCTCGGTGCCGCTCGGCTCCACCCGGCTAAAGCGGCCACTAAGGGTATCTTGGACGCTGCACGTGGGATCCGTACAAGGCCGGGGGCTACTTGGCAGTACCCGATCCAGTGGGTGCCGCCGGCAGATGACGGGGCATGCGTGACAAAGGGCAGGTTAAAAGGCTCCAATGACTGACTTTTAGTGCGTTGGTGCTTAAACAAGGGTAGGTAGAGTTCAGGCCAAGGCCATGTGACGTGACGGGCCTCTCGGCGGAGAGTGGGAGCGAAACATGGGGGGACATGGGGCCGCGGGGTACTGGGTACTGCCAAGTATTACGTTGTAGGTAGTTCTCCGTACCGTCGGAATGCGATCGGGCTTCTCAGCATGGGGGACGACCGGTGCAGGCACGGCGGCGGCGGCGGCGCTCCGTCCAGCATGGTCTCTACAGTCTAGCAAATACGTGACCAGACCAAGAAGTTGATCAAGGTCTATGTCTCCTCTGTCTCCTCGCCCCTAAAGATGGGCTTTTGTACCCCTCTTTGCCCCTGACGGTCCCTTCTGTCTACCTTGCTGTACGTACGCAGTACAGAGTACCCAGGTATCCGTACAGCTGACCAAGTGGGGGCCGCCGAGGCCGCGTCTCGGTGACGGTGACGGCAAACGGGCTTGTTGTGTGCGACAGCATTTTGCATCGGTACGTACTGCGTAACTTATGGCATGCGCGCAAGAGGCAAGGACGACCGGCCCCCGGACCCCGGCCCTCGCTCTCGGTGGGCTCCGATGCCCTGCGCCTCTGTTGCTTCCTCGTAGATACTTAAGTCCTCGTAGATACTTCCTCGTAGATACTTCCTCGTAGATACGAACCCAGCTGCATCTTGGTTACGGCTCGCTCGGAGGCCGGGGACCAGGAGGGGGCCTGGAGGAGCAACTATTGCATGTACACTTTCTTTTTCTTCCTAATATCCGTCGCTCTTGTTTCAACCCGTGCGTCTTGCTGCCAGCCGTGACGTTTCGGCCTCGGAAATAAAAAAAACATGTTCGGCCGCGTTGGCCCCCTTCTTGTGAGTTACAGTGCCGTATGTATGGCCCATCATGGTCGCCTCTTACCGCCTTGATGCCTTTCTCTTCCCTTCTCTCCTCTCTCGCCTCTCTCGCCTCTCTCGCTCCCCGCCTCGCCTTCCCCATAACTTGAGCTTGCCGACCCGCGAAACGCCCCAGACAACGAGCAGGACACCCGCCCTTTTCATCTCTTCTTTCTTGACTGCGCAACCCGCCCGCTGTTGAGCCCGCTGTTGAGTCTTTTGCCGGCTTGGCGGGACCATCCGCCGTGGTCCGTTTCGTTCCGGAGTCCCCCATTCGTCTGAACACCTCCGAGTCTGTTGGGACCTCGTCGCAGGCCTCGTAGTGAAGGGACGATCCCCCGATCTTGTCTCACCGTTTTTGTGTCTTGTCTTACATACCCCTCGGGGCCTGTGTGTGAGAGTGAGTGAGACCATGACGACAGCCGAGTCGCCGGCGACGCCTGCGCCGCGATCCACTTCCGAGGACACGACCGATGTCGAGCGAGACGCCGGCGTCGTCAAGCCGCATGAGGAAAAAACGACGCCGACCGGGTCCCGGGACCCAGAGCATCGGTCCGGCGCCGGCCAGCTCCCGGCGCCGGCAGTCGGGCGGCCAGAGACCGAGGCCGCGACCGACCCGCCCGAGAGCGGCCGCACGAGCATCGAGACGTTCCTCGTCATGTTCGCCCTCTGCCTGGCCCTGTTCCTGGCGGCGCTCGACATGACCATCATCACAACCGCCATCCCCACCATCTCCAGCCACTTCGACTCGAGCGTCGGCTACGTCTGGATCGGCAGCGCCTACCTGCTCGGCAACGCCACCTTTGTGCCCACCTGGGGCAAGATCTCGGACATCTTCGGCCGCAAGCCCGTCCTCATCGCCGCCGTCATCATCTTCTGGATCGGCAGCCTGCTGTGCGCCGTCAGCAACAGCATGGGCATGCTCATCGCCGCCCGCGCCATCCAGGGCGTCGGCGGCGGCGGCACCATTGTCCTGCCCAACATCTGCGTCTCGGACCTCTTCTCCATGCGCCGCCGCAGCCTGTACTTTGGCATCCTCGGCGGCGTCTGGGCCGTCGCCTCGGCCGTCGGGCCCGTCCTCGGCGGCGTCTTCACCACCAAGCTGTCGTGGCGCTGGTGCTTCTACATCAACCTGCCCCTCGGCGGCGTCGGCCTCGCCATCCTCGTCTTCGTCCTCAAGCTGCACAACCCGCGCACCCCCGTGCGCCAGGGCCTCGCCGCCATCGACTGGCTCGGCAGCGTCCTCGTCATTGGCGGCACCCTGATGTTGCTCTTTGGGCTCGAGTCGGGCGGCGTCCAGCACCCCTGGGGCTCGCCCATGGTCGTCTGCCTCGTCGTCTTTGGCGTCGTCGCCGTCGTCCTCTTTGCCCTGTACGAGGCCTTTGTCGCCCGCTTTCCCCTCATCCCCGTCTCGCTCTTCCGCCAGAGCACGAGCATCGCCGCCTTTGTCCTGTCCTTTGCCCACGCATTCACCTTTATGAGCGGCAGCTACTGGCTGCCCCTGTACTTCCAGGCCGTCATGGGCGCCTCGTCGCTGCTGTCGGGCGTCTACCTGCTGCCCTTTGTCCTGTCCCTGTCCCTCGCGTCGGTCGCGACGGGCGTCGTCATCAAGAAGTCGGGCAACTACAAGCTCATCATCATGGCCGGCCTGCTGGTCATGACGCTCGGCTTCGGCCTCTTCATCTCCCTCGGCCACGACCGCGACTGGGCCAAGATCATCATCTTCCAGATCATTGCCGGCGCCGGCGTCGGCCCCAACTTCCAGGCACCGCTGCTGGCGCTGCAGACCAACGTGGAGCCGCGGGACATTGGCGCCGCCACGTCGAGCTTCGGCTTCCTCCGGCAGCTGGGCACGTCCATCTCCGTGGCCGTCGGCGGCGTCATCTTCAACAACGAGATGCAGAAGCAGCACGACGCCCTGGCCCGGAGCATCGGCCCGGAGCTGGCCGACAAGTTTGGCAGCTCGGACGCGGCGGCGAGCGTCCAGGCCGTCGGGACTCTGCCGGCAGCCGAGCGAGCCGTGGTGCAAGGCGCCTACTGGAACGCGCTCCAGAAGATGTACATTGTCTACACGTGCTTCATCTTTGCCGGCTTCCTCGTCAGCTTCTTCATCAAGCAGAAGAAGCTGAGCAAGACGCACACGGAGCACAAGACGGGTCTGAAGACGCTCAAGCACCGCACCGCGGGCGAATCCGGCGAGGAGAGCAAGGGTGGGCAGAACGAGACGCTGCTGACCGAGACAGAGAGAGAGCATGGATGGCGTTTGATTTTCATGTCCGTCATTTGAAGGAAAGAACACACATGTTGCATCTGGGGACTTTGCATATGAAAAACGACTCATATTACGGATCTCGAATCAGAGCCCAGCACGGTTGGCAGTCATGATGGCGTCGGGGGTGTGCTTTTCGAACCAAGGTTAATGGCATGATGGCCCAAAAAAGGGCGATTGGCAGGAAAATGTTCTGGCGGCTCAAGAGTCTGGAGTTTGAATGAGCAAAAGAAAAAATGACTTGAATCCTGACCTGATGTGACTGAATGAGTGATGTTGTGGCGACATGTCAAAAGCCGACACGGCTATTGACACCAAATGAGCATCAGGGTTTAGGGTAGCCTGAATGTCCCTGGACGCCTACGGGGCAAATAACGAGCACAAGCCGCCGCTGACAATTGGAAGCTGGGGTTTCCAAGCAGTTTTTCTTGAAACACTTGATCATATTTTCCGAGTTAAACAAAACCTTATCAAGTGCAATTGGCCATTTTTGTCCTATTTTCCGGACACCACGCAGTCTGTCATGGCGCGCTTCAGCGTCGGGGTGGACGGTTTGGTTGCCCCGGCGACAAGGGACGCATTGTTGACCGCCACAGCGGCTGGTGCACCACCTCCCCTGCGGGCTACTCCTCCCCACACCAAACCAAGGGCCCGGAGACTATGCAACGCCTCCAAAACTGCTGCATCATTTTGCCCTCGCGCGCCTCCTCCTCCTCCTCCTCCACCACCACCACCTCCATTGGGAACCCAGTGACCTCGTGTATCCTCTACAGGGGAAGCGTGTGCTGGGGCTCCGGAACCCAAAGCCAACAACAAATCAGTCGCGCTGGCTTCCCGACGAACGACGCGCTCCGACCGTGAGCTCGGCCGCTCGGCCATGGGCACAGGCATGCGCGCCGGCTCCTCGAGCCGCAGCGGCACCAGGCCGGCCGGCGTCAGGGCCTCCTCGACGACGACCATGGCTCGCCACGCGTCGGTCCTGCGCGGCGCCGCCCTCGATCGCAGCGGCGCCGTGTCGCCCGCCGAGTCTGCCTCGACATCGGGCACGAAACGCAAGGCGCGCGACCTCGAGTCCGAGGCCGGCGGCGAGGAGACCAACATTAACGTCGTGGTGCGCTGCCGAGGCCGCAACAAGCGCGAGGTCAAGGAGAACAGCACCGTCGTCGTCAGGACCGACGGCGTCAAGGGCAAGCTCGTCGAGCTGTCCATGGGCGCCAACTCGCTCAGCAACAAGACGTACAACTTTGACCGCGTCTTTTCCCCCGCTGCCGATCAGAACATGGTCTTTGATGACACGGTCAAGCCCATTCTCGAAGAGGTACGCTGCTCCTGGCGTGCGAGGACCATCGTGAGCTGACAGGGCCTAGATGCTTGCCGGCTACAACTGCACCATCTTCGCCTACGGCCAGACAGGCACGGGAAAGACGTACACAATGTCGGGAGACATGGAGGAGACCATGGGCATGCTCTCGGACGAGGCCGGCATCATCCCCCGCGTCCTCCAGCAGCTCTTCAACAAGCTCGAGCGCGACGACACGGAAAACTGCGTCAAGTGCTCCTTCATCGAGCTCTACAACGAGGAGCTGCGCGACCTGCTCTCCGTCGAGGAAAACGCAAAGCTCAAGATCTTCGACGACGTCTCGAGAAAGGGCCACGCCGGCACCATCATCCAGGGCATGGAGGAAAAGCACATCAAGAACGCACCCGAGGGTATCAAGGTGCTCCAGGACGGCAGCTTGAAACGCCAGGTCGCCGCCACAAAGTGCAACGACCTCAGCTCCCGCAGCCACACTGTCTTCACCATCACCGCCTACGTCAAAAAGACAAACGAGCACGGCGTCGACGACTTTGTCAGCGCCGGCAAGCTCAACCTCGTCGACCTCGCCGGCAGCGAAAACATCCAGCGCTCCGGCGCCGAGAACAAGCGCGCCGCAGAGGCCGGCCTCATCAACAAGTCGCTGCTCACCCTCGGCCGCGTCATCAATGCCCTCGTCGACCGCGGCGCCCACATCCCCTACCGCGAGTCCAAGCTCACGCGCCTGCTGCAAGACTCGCTGGGCGGCCGCACCAAGACGTGCATCATCGCAACCGTCTCCACGGCCAAGAGCAACCTGGAGGAGACCATGTCCACCCTCGACTACGCCTTTCGCGCCAAGAACATCCGGAACAAGCCCCAGCTCAACCCCATGCTCAACAAGAAGATGCTCCTCAAGGACTTTGCCAACGAAATCGAAAAGCTCAAGAGCGAGCTCATCTCGACCCGCCAGCGCAACGGCGTCTACATGTCCAACGACATGTACGAGGAGATGACGGCGCAGAGCGAGTCTCGAAGGATCGTCCTCGAGGAGCAGGCCGCCAAGATCGAGACGCTCGAGACGAACCTTCGCAACAAGGTCCAGGAGCTCTTTTCCCTCAACACGGCCTTCTTGGGCCTCAGGAAGGATCACGAGGGAACGAAGTTCCAGCTCGACGACACAAAGTGCGTGCTCGACCAGACCGAGATCGTCCTCAACGCCACGCGCATCTCCCTGGCCGAAGAGACGCAGCTGAGAAAGGCGCACGAGCAGACCGAGGAGAAGCTCACCGAGATCGGAGGTGAGCTCATCGGCAAGCTCAAGAAGACGGTGCACGACGTCAGCGGGCTCCACGCCAAGAACAAGCGCAAGTCGGATCTGCAGTCGCTCAACCGTGCCGCCTGGGGCACCTCCCAGGCACAGGTGGCCGACGTTACCTCCATGGTCGAGCGGCGCGTGCTCGAGTTCCAGGACGAGCAGCTTGAGCACATTGCCAGTGTCTCGAGGCGCATGGGCGACTTTGTCGGCGAGGAGCTCAGCAAGCTGTCGGCGACGCAGGCCTTCCTCGACGAGCACCTCAATGTCTTTGTCGACTCCAAGCGGCAGATGCTGGAGCAGCGGCAGAAGTCAAAGGACGACATGGACGACGTCTTGGAGGAAATCAAGGCCATTCGCGACAATGTCAAGGACAAGATGGGCGAGAGCCTGCGCGTCATCTCCCATGCCGCCGAGAAGATTTCGGCCGACGTCTTGAACGAACTGACCAATCTGCATGGCACTGTAAGTTGGAGAACCCGGCGTCGGCCGGTTTCCGAGGTGGAATTATGCGCTGACGGTTGCACAGCTACATAACTCCTACAGCTCTCTCGGCAAAGACTTCAAGTCCATCTTCGAGGACCTCGTCAGGCACCTTACCGCTCAGCGGAGCGAGGCAGACACCCTTCGCCTGCAGCTGCAAAGCGCCACGAGCGCCAGCGTGCTGCAGAACGCGAGCTTGACCACGCGCGTCCAGGATGCCTTGGAAGAGGAGCGCCGACAAGCAGCCGAGGACCGCCAGAAGCTGATGACGCAGATCACCTCCTTGGTGCACGCTCAGGCCGAGTCGCAAGAGGCGCGCATGTCGGAGCGGGCGTCGCAGATGCAGAAACTCGTGGCCGACTCGAGCGCGTCTCTCGAAGGGGCCGCCACCCAATACGGCCAGGGCATGGAGGCGTGGGATGAAAAGGAGAGCCAGCTGCTGGAGGATGTTAAGAAGTCGCGCGACCAGCTCAAGACCAAGCTCAAGGACGACTGGACGGCGGCCAACGAGCAGAGCATGACCATCCAAAACACGGCCAAGTCGGTTCACGCCGAGACTGTGCGCGTGGTCGACGAGCAGGTCGAGGACCTGGACGCTCAGATGGAGGCGCTCGATGACTTTGTCGCCCGGGCCCGGTCAGAGAACACCAGCCATTACGAGACTCACTCGCAGTCTGTTCAGGCGCTGTCGAATGCTGTGGAACAGTCGTTTGGTAACATCTCGGCCCACTTCAAGACAACGTTTGACCGGGTTAAGAACCTGGGCGAGGAAATGGAGCTGGACGCAAACGACTTGCAGGACGGGATCGAGCCCCTCGAGATGCACGTGTGCCAGCCGCTGGCCAACCTGCGCGAGGGCATCGCCTCGGCGTCGCTGCAGGAATACCAGCCCACGGGCGAAACACCGCAAAAGACGCTTTACACGTATCCCACCAAACTGCCGCGGACCGAGCCCCCCGACCTGCTCATGGCCAGGATCGACGAGGCGTCTCCGCTGGACGAGGGGGAAGACAACGACAACGACGGCACGGAGCTCGAAGATAGCATCTTGTCGCCCCCGGAGGCGGCCCCCGGCGCACGCAAGATGACGCCGCCCCTGTCGCGCGCCCGCCGGCCGTCGACCGCCTGCAGCCCGGAGGGGAACCCGCTGAGCATGAGCCTTCGCGAGGTGAGCCCCAACGTGGCGGCGGCGTCCAGGGCCAACATGACGACGGGTAGCCTAGGCTTTGACGGCCGCGCGAGCACCGCGTCCGTGCCGGCGGACCTGACGGTGCCCATCGTCAAGCGCACGCGCGCGAGCCTTAGGAGGCAGGGTCAGGGGGTCGTGGTGGTGGCCGAGGGCTGGGAGAACGTGCCGCTGACGGCGGATGCGTTTTCGCAGAGCTCGTCGTCGAGGCGCAAGAGTCCGCGCCTCAAGTGAGGGGCTCGTCTGACGAGGCGAGGTGTCTGCCGTGACTTGGGCACGATGTCCTCCACGCGCTGGCGACGATGAACTACAAAAGAATTCGAAAACAACACTTTCTTGTTTGTACAGGCGGCCGGCTGCCGCGAGAGCTATGCTTGCAGGGTTACCGAGTATTTAGATAGATACCCCCTTTGGCTTTGTTGTTGAAGAGGATGATTGAATTGTTGTCTTTCCGTGTACACACATACACACACACAGAGAGAGAGGCAGAGAAGGAGCCGTGATGGGGAGAAGGCAGATGATGTAGACGTTTGAGGTAGCCTGTCCGCGAGACATGGCATCTATATCCAGAAGACCAATCCAAGAACCACTGTCCCTTTGTGCGCCAAACAGGGGCTCTCTGGGAAGAACCTGACCCCTCTCAGCACGAGTCGTCCGCCGTCTCGTCTCCTCCGTTGCTGCCAGCGGCACCTTGGCGAGCTTGGCCATCTTGACCACCACCACCACCACCGTCATCCTCCTCATCACCATCAGGGTCAACGCGCGACCTACCGCGCGCGGCCCTCTTCCCCAGCCCGCCGGGCGGCGCCCGACGGCGACGCACGTCACCGCCGCGCCAGCCGCGAGCCACGGCAATGGGGCGCAGGAAGCCATCGACGTGCACGGCGCCTCGGACCTCGTCGTCGCTGTCGGCGTCGGCATCGGCGGGGGCGGCGTCGGCGAGGGCGGCGCGGCCCGGGTGCACGAGGTGCATGTGGCGGCGCAGGTTGACGCGGCGCGCGAAGCCCGTGGCGGCGCGCTCGCACGAGGCCACGGGGCAAAAGGCCAGCCCGGCCGAGGAGCGCGAGCGCGAGCGCGAGGCGCTGGACGCGGAGCCGGGCCGCCCGCGCCCGCGCGGCGAGGGCGTCGACGCGAGCGATGCGAGGCGGCGCTGCTGGAGGGTGGCTTGGGCGTCGTCTTCGGCGTCGGTGTTGGCGGATGAGGACGCTGCCGAGGAGCACGACGTGGCAGGCCGCGACGAGGTAAAAGGGCGGATGGGCTCGGGGCGGTACTCGAACTCGGCGGTCGGCAGGTCGGGCCCGCGCGAGGCTGGCGTCTCGTCGAGGCGTCGGATCAACATGCCCTCGCCCAGCAGACGGGAACAGCGCTTGGCCGTCCGCTTGATGACGTCCTCCGGGAAGCCCGCCAGGGCAGCCGCGCCCACCACGTCGCTCCAGTCCCGTAGGCCCCATCGTCGCAGTTTCGCTTCGGCGTTGCTGCCGTCGCCATCCTCGCCATCGCCCTCTGTGGCCGTCTCCCCGGGCACCCCCGACCTCTCGCCCTCGCTCGCGGCGGCGGCGGCTGCTTCCTCCCTTGCCCGCGCCGCCCGTCTCACGTCTTCGCCACGCAGCCATTCCTCAAAGGCGGCATCCTTGTCCTCCTGCGTCGGCGGAATCCGCCTGTGGGTCTCGCGCGCGATCCGCACCCGGAACTCGTCCTCCGTCTCCCCCTCCCTGGGTATGCGCAGCTTGCGAGGACGGCCTCGCCTGCGCGGGCCGCCAGAGCCACTTGGCGAGGAAAGAGCGCTCTCGTCGTCGCCGGGCTGCGGCGTGCGCCGCGGGCGGCCGCGGCTGCGTCGGCGCGGGGTCTGCGAGTCGGAGTCGGAGTCGGTCGACGAGTCGGAGAGATGGCTCACGCCGGCGACGCGTGTGTTGTGGAGGATGGTGAGGGTGCGGTCGAGCTGCGCGACGATGTGGCGGACGCACGGATCGAGGAGCTCGTAGGATAGGTCGTCGTTTGCCGACACAACGGGCTCGTAGGTAGGGGACGCCGTCCGCCTGGCCCGCTTGGCTGGCTGCTCATCGTCCTCGTCCTGGCCGCCGCGGTCCGAGTCGCGGTCAATCTGCATCTTGCCGTCCTCGTCGCCCGACTCTGCATGCCCGGACATGGGCGGAGAAGACGGCAGAGAAGCTGCGTCATCGCTAAGCTCAGCCTCCGAAGCAGTGGCAGCAGCAATATCAGCAGCAGACGCCTGCACCGGCAAACCCCATTTCCTCTTGCGGAAGCGCTCCTTGGCGAGCCGCAGGATCGTCGCCCCCAGCTCCTCCTGCAGTGCAGAGCGCGGAAGCCTTGGCGCTGCCTTGCGAAGCGTGAATCGCTCGTCCTCGTCCTCGTGCTTCTTGAGGAGGGTCTCGCGCGGCACATGCCTCTCCTTCAGGGGCCACGCCGTCCAGGCCTTGGGCGGCGCCCATATGGCGTCGTGGCCATCATCCTGCAGCCCTGTCAGCGCCGATGGCCAAAGAGCAGAGGCGTCCGACTCACCGTCCCGATGGTCAGCCCGCGCGCCGTGTTTGCGTTTCTGCCAGCCCGCCTGAGCGCAAAGGCATCGTACAGATGCAGCGCCAAATCCTCGTTGTGCAGCTGCTGCATCGACCGCCACAGCAGCCGCTCCTCCCCCGTGAGCGTCCGCCAGGATGACTCGGGGCCGCTCCAGCGGTTCGGGCGGTTTGCGTGCAGGTCCTCGGACGTGACGGATGCGATCTCATCGCTTTCCAGGTCCCAGTTTGCCGGTGGTTGAGCGCGTTCCATGGTGGCGAGAGTCAACGCGCGGCGAGATGACCCATTAATTACGGACCAAGGTTATTCGTGTACGTCGACCATGAAATTCGCATGCGTGTGTCGTGAGCATCCATGGTGCAGGCCAGTTGTTGTGGTCTTGTAAGTTGGGAGGTGGAAAAAAAGAAGAGACGGCTTGAGCCGCCTAGTGTCACAGCCTCAGTTGCCTGTGCAGCCACAGGGAAGATCGGGTCACACGACAGCAACAACAGAACAACAAGATGGGTTTCATTTCTTTCCACAGGCGACAGACAAAGTCACATGCACATCCCACAATAAATCTGCAGAAAGATGGTATTTCGCCCCTACATAAACAGTTGTAGCAACGCCCAACATCTACGCCTTTCCTCGCGCCTTTTCCTTTTCAAACCTTCTCCGTTTCGCCCGCAGCTTCTGGTCCTCGGCGCTCTTCTTCTTATTGGTGTACTCCATTTGCTCAAAGAGCTTCCTCTTCTTCTTGCTCAGCATGCCCTTGGCGCGCTCGAGCTCCTCCGCTTCGTCGCGCGACTTCTTGGACAACGCCTTCTTCGCGCCCTCACGGGCCTTGGCCTTGGCGTCGACCGGCTTGGTCTTGACCGGAGCACCCGTCAGCTCAGCCTCCAGCTCCTGCTGCCGCAGAGTCACCTCATCTCCCTCGTCGTCCTCCGCCGCGTCCTCGTCGTCATCTGATGGTCCTTCAGACCCGTCGTTTCCTTTGGCATCGCCCTCGTCCTCTCCATCTTCGTCCTCATCTTCATCTTCGGAGCCCGCAACATCCATGCCCTCGACAGTCTCATCGGCGTCCTCATCCTCGGCCGCCTCCAGAGCCTCAGCCTCGGTCTCTTGCTGTTCGAGAGGCACCGTCGGGTCGTAGGCGCCCTGCACCTGCTTGACAAATGGACTCAGATGAGGGGGCAGCGATGCGCCGGGGGCATACAGGTGAGGCTCCTTCAGCTCCTGGTCGTTGACGCTGTCCCATACCCACTGAGGCTGAACGTATATCCGCCCCGGCACTCGCTGATTGCCCGCCAGCTTCCACGACGTCTGGTTGTCTTCTCCGTCCCCGTCCTCTTCCATCGCTGCTTGGATCGGGGGTCGATCGACGATTTGATGTGTAATCGAGGGGTCCAGCTCGTCTGTTGTGGATGCGCCTTCGCCCAGTACCGCATCCCACCCGACGCGCTTGCAGCCAAATGCCTTCAGCAGAAACTCGAGGGGCTGTCGTGGCGCCTCACGCGACAGGTAGATTGTGAAATTTGAGAAGAGGGACCCCTGGCTGCCTCCAGAGGTTGGCTGGGGTAAGACATCACCTCCCTCTGCCGTCGGCTCAAACTTGTCCAGTGTTCCGTTCGTCGTGTCCTGCTCCGTCTCGTTGGCATTGCCAGGAGCCTCGCCATCCTCCTCACTTTCGCCGCTCTTCATCGTTTTCAGGACCTTGTTCACGGCTGCCTGGACCCTGGGGTCAGGCCTATGGGGGACATCCTCGAGCTGCTTGGGCTCCTCGGGCGCCACCAATGACTTGCCCTCGAGGGTGAACGCGCCCAGCTCTGCCGAGTTTTCATCCTTGGTCACGTCGAATTTGGGAGGATACTTGAGACCAAGGGATGTGTACAGCCGAAAGTTGACGAAGCCCAGCAGGGTCATGTAGAACTCGACAAAGGTCCCCATGATGCGAAAGTCGATGTCGCCGACGATGCGCTGGTTGAACTTGTACGGCACCAGCCACAGAACGTCCTCGCCCTGGATGTTGGCCTGGTAGTAGATGCCCTTGATGGACAAGAAGGACTTTGTGAGGCTCTTGGAAACAATCAGGTAGTGCTGGAACTCGAGGCATAGCCGCTCGCATCGGGCAATCATCTTGGCGGGGACGCTCGAGGTCGAGGGCAAATTGGCAAAGAGGAAGAGCATGGAAAGGCAGTCGTCCAAGTCTCGCAGCGAGTCGTTGAAGGTCGGATAGCGCTCGCGAATGACATGGTCGAGAGTGTAGCGCGGCTTGCCCGTCTTCTCAGGCCGAGCGGCATTGGTCTCGAGGCGCTTGGCGTCGGAAACATTGCCGCGCCCCAGGGCCCTCGAGATCTTCTTCTCGAGGGCTTTCTGGTCGCGGAACCTTTGCAGCAGTGGCTCGTGGAGGAGGTACTGGATGTCCTTGGCGTAGTAGAAGGTCGTCGAGGCCGTAGACGACTTGGACACCTTCTTCTTGCTCCGGGGCTCGCGCGGATAGATGCCCTTCCAGATGCAAAGCTGGCGGAAGTCGGGCAGGCTGATTTGTAGTTTCCGGATTGCCTGGTTTCGGGTCACGTAGTTTTTGGCGGCGCCGGCCTGGCCCTTTTTCTTTATCCGCGCCATGGCCGTCTTTGTGCGTGGGATTGGTCTGGATTGTCGTGCTGAGGGCTGGCTCGGCCGCTGGGTAAATGCAGCGGGGCCACTGAGGAAGGATAATTCCGACTTTTTTTTCTCTCTCGACCATGGCAATTTTACTGCCACGGCCCACCGCCTGGATCATCATCCATTTCGGGCCTAGTGGCTGCCGCCGTCGCTCACCGCCCGAGCCTGCCACCTCCCACTGTAAGTACACTAAGTTGGAGCAAGCTCCCGCGGCGCGTCTGTCCCAATTGAACCAACAGCCAAGTGGCCTCGGTCCCCATCGTCTCGCGCCAGGAAGCCGCCCCCTCTCCGCTCCCGAGTCGCCAGCTTCGCAATGGCCTGAGAAATGCAATGCCCGGCATCATGACGCTGCGAGGCAAGGCTGGCGTCTACGCCGGCGCCGCGCTCCTGCGACTCGTGCTCACCCTCGCTTTCCCGGCCCTGCCCGACTTGCTGACGGGCCGCGTTGAGATCTCAACGCCCGTCACGAGCTTCAAGCGATGTATGCTGCTACCCTAGTGAGGAATGGGTGGGCGACGAGGAATCCTGCTGACCTGGCTTGGCGACGACGCAGTACAGGAAGGCTTATTTCTCTACAACCACAATGTCCCGCCGTATGATGGCGGCGTCTACCACCAGGCGCCCTTGCTCCTCCCGCTCTTCTCGCTGCTCCCCGACGTCAAGGCCTGGCCCATCTTCACCTCGCTGCTGTATATCTTGGTGGACCTCGTCAGCGCAGATGCATTGGTCAGGATTGCCGACTCGGGCGAGGCCGGCCAGTCCCTGCTGTTTGCGTCCCCGCGGCGAGCGAGGCGCGCATCAGGCCTGTTCGTGGCTGCGGCGTGAGTTTGCCCGTCCAAGTTTTACCTGGGAAGCGAAGCTGACGGCGCCAGGTTCCTCTTCAATCCCCTGACGATTGCAACGTGTATAGGGCGCTCGACCAGCGTCTTCACGTCTTGCGCCATCCTCCACGCCATCTCCAGGGCCATCCACGGCTCCCCCCTGAACGCAATGGTGGCCCTCTCCTTCGCCTCATACCTGTCCATGTACCCGCTGCTCCTCGCGCCGCCGCTCGTTCTCCTGGCCTTTGATCGCCAGTCCCCGAAACGTCGCGAAGCCTGCGCGAGCAAGTTTGCCGTCAAGTGTACCCTCGTCATGGCCGCCTGTCTCGCCATCCTCCTGGCCATGTCCTTTGTGCTGACAGGCAATTCGTGGGAATTCTTGGCACGCACATACGGCATCCAGCTCACGCTCTCGGACCTCACCCCCAACGTCGGCTTGTGGTGGTACTTCTTCATCGAGATGTTCGATTCCTTCCGGGCCTTTTTCCTCGCCGTCTTTTGGCTGCACTTATCCTCCTACGTTGGCGGCCTCACCATCCGCATCCGCACCCAGCCACTCGTGGTTCTGACTCTTCTGCTCGGCATCTTCGCCATATTCAAGCCGTACCCGTCCATTGCCGACACGAGCCTGTTCCTGGCCATGCTTCCGCTGTTCTGGCACGTGTTTCCCCTCATGCGCTACACCTACGTCGCCTCGGCCACCATCTTGTACGCCACGTTCCTCGGCCCGGCCTTTTACCACCTATGGATCTACGCGGGCAGCGGCAACGCCAACTTCTTCTACGCCATCACCTTGGTATGGAGCCTGGGGCAGAGCCTGTTGGTGTCGGACCTGGCATTTGCTGTCCTGAGAGATGAGTGGGAGGTGGAGAGGCCCGAGATGGTAGGGAAAGATGTCAAGCAGATATAGGGATTTAGAAACACAAGCTTAGCACGGGCACGGCAAGCAGGACACTTGCGCTATTGAGCATAGGTGGCACTTAGATGGGAACAAAGAAATCATCGACACTGGTCCCTAAGTCGTCGAGGTATCTGACGTTGCCGCATCTCATTTCCAAGGGGAGGGGTATCAAGTTCCTTTACGCCTCAAGACTCCACCTTCTTAATCCACCTCTGAATCCATCTCTACAAGCCGACCATGGCCAGTAGACAAGCTCCCCGTGGCCGGTGCCGAGGGCATTGGTGCAGACTGATAGGTCCCCATGGCACCGCTCAGCATCGTCCCGAGTTCTCCGAACTGGCTGAGCATGCCCCCTTGTCGAATGGCTCTCCAGACTTGCGACCGAGCACCAAACGGCTGGAGCGACTTGTAGGCATAGAGGCCGTACCCAACGACAGCGCCGGTAGCCACGAGGCTCGAGGCCAGCACCAGCGCCCGGCGGTCCAGGCCGTGAGACGCTTGTTCGGCACGCAGCCGCATCTCCTTGGCGTAGTGCTCGCCGAGGCTGGGGGCGTTGCGAAGGATGGAATCGACGACCCGGGCGCTCGAGCCGATGACGGTGGGCGGGTCTGAGGCAGACCATGGCAGGTCCCGTGGCGCCACGCTGTCTACGAATTTTGACAGCCGCGGAGCCTCGGCTTGCATCCAGTCACGCAGAAAGGAGCGCGGCACGGAAGGCTTGAGCATGAGGGCGAGATAGCCGTAAGCCAGACAGTCCAACGAGGAGACGGGCGTTCCGGGAAAGAATCGCGGTGGCTCCCGGTCGCCTTGCTTCTCATGGTCGACCATAAAGGCACCCACGTCGGACAGACAGTCCCCGACAAGCCCATGCAGTCTGATGGCAGCAGCCTGCTCAGGCGTCATCTCCTCACGGACCGTCTTCTTCGTCGTCACGGGCAGATGCCTCCTAAACGTCTCCGGCAGCGCATCCCGGCCAGCCGACAGATGCAGGCCGGCGCTGGGGTCAAAGTCGGTGTCCAGCTCCGCGAGCCCCAGGTGCTCGGCGCGCTTGATGGCTTCGGCCCGGATCAGGGGCGGGACGGTCCAGGTCAGCGGGAAGGGGAGAAGCGCGCTGTAGGCCGGCCGGGTTGCGGCTGACCAGTTGGCGGCGGAGACGTAGAGCGAGAGATCGACCAGGGGCGCCGCATGCACGGACAGATAGGCGCTGTAGGCGACACTGTCGGCTTGCTGGCGCGCATCCAGGCTTTCGTCGAGGTTTCTGCAGAGGGAGTTTGAAGTGAGGTAGTCGACTATCTGGCGGTAGCCACTTGTCCAGACGCCGTCGTGGTACAGCGCGGGGAGATGGTCTGGGTGGTCAGTCGAGGCTCATGAGCAGCTGGAGTCGCATGGCAGGCAACCTACGTGACGGGCTGACGGAGGGATCGCTGCTCGGGGTGAGGCACCAGGTAGAGGGTGGAGCGGCATGGTAGAGATGGGCGATGGTGGCGAGGCACTCGGCGTCAATCGAAGGGAGGCCGAACGCCGCCCCCCAGACATGGAGGTTGAGCATCGCCGTGATGAGCCGACCGGCGGGCCGATGACTGTCTGTGCTGAGTCTAGGGCACTTGGGCATAAAAAGCGGAAAAGCGAAAGAGCACCAAGAGCAAGGGCCCGAAATCGTTCGGTTCTGAGGCTCCTCAAGCAGACGCCATCGTCACCACCGGTCCGGCAAAGCACTAGTTTGCTGCGCGCTCGGCCACGTGACGCCGCCAGGCAGGTCCAGGGACAGGCGCATGGGGGCCCCGACCGGGCCGATCCATGCTGAAGTCAAGAAACAACAAAAAACAACCAAAAAGAAATTGAGGGCGAGGAAGAAAGCCTCTAACCGGTGGCGATATTCATCCCCCGATGTGCCCCCCTGACGATCAGGTATCAAAGCTCGTCCAGGGGAGGTGGAGGCGGCCAGTTCGCGCCCCGACGTGCACCGCGACAGCAGCTCTCCTCCACGAGCCCCAGCGTCCATCCTGACGTTATCTTGTAGGCTTCGCAGCTGACCATTTACGAGTTACCCAATCGTCGTCCATCGTCCATCGTCCATCGTCCATCGTCCATCAAGACTCCACCAGCAGCAGGAACTTTGGTCACCGCTCGTTTCGCGCCGGCATTGCATGCCCACTATGCGAGCATCCCGACCTCGACGTCAGAGATTGGGTCATTTCAGAGAGCTCGTCACCGGCCTGTACGTACATGTGACAAGCCTGTCACCAATGCACCCCTGGAGGGGGGGTCTGCAGTACGGATAGTTGAGACGAAAATCCGAAACGAGCAGCAAGAGGTGAGAAAGGGGCCCTGGTTTCTTCTTTTGTTCTGGAAATTGACCGTGTCGCGGATGGGCGGGCCCTCCATTTTCATTTCATGTTTGCATGCGCCTGAAACTAACGTTTCTGTAAACGTACTGTACCTATGTAAGTTACTTTGCTTGCGGATACCTGTATGATGAGATGATGATGAATGGGTTCGTTGCTTCGCATCCGTGCTTTTATTAATTCGATATCCGATGGAGGTAGTAGGAGCTTAGCTAGCAGCATGGACTATTTAACATAGCTGCCAAGCTTGTAAGAGAAACCGCCCTCTGGGCCTCTGGGACCAAGGAGAAAGGAAAAGAAAGGAAAAATTGGTCATGGAACGCCTTGGCTGCTCGCTTCTAGCAAATGGCAAAACCAGAGGACCAGAGGGGCTAGTCGTGCCCAGGGAGAATGATAGCACGGCCTCCGCATTTCCGCCGTTCGTCGATTGCTCGAGCATGGGCGTTTTGCGACGATCACAACCATCGAGGCGGCCAGCCACGCTACTTTGCTGTCACATACCTGATCCACCACACTCGGCTATCTAGGGGTGAGACCGAGTGAGGCCCTACCAAATTCCAGTCTCGGCCGAAAAGAGCTCAATACAGTTGTCGCGTAACTCCCAAGGCCTTTGCCTGCAAATGCGTCACTAGAAACGAGTCTGTGTAGGATTTGGCAAAACTTCTATTGCCTCGATGCTATGGCATTCCCATTCCCATTACCATGTATAATCATTACCCTCCTTCGTAACCTTTGGCAAGCAGCCGCGACAGTGCCGAGGGTATCAACGACGCAAGCGCATTGAAAGACATAAATGAAATGCTCCCGTGATGCAGATCCTCCAGCAAGCCACATGAGCCCTGAAAAGCATGATACGTAAAACCCTCTTCCGCAGTCGAGATGATTAAATTATTGTAGAAAGGGGCACAAAAATAGCCAGGCTGCGGCTCGGGCGCAAACAGGCAGGAGAAGAAGTAGTGTTGCGATCCGCTCGTGCCAGCCAAGGCGGGATGGGTCGAGGCGACCCGTTCTGCGGCCGGGCGTGAGGTTGACTTTAGCCGTCGAGGGTAATGTCCGGTGCGAGCAAGGAAATTGATTCGACGTCCGCCAGACGAGGCGGGCGGAAAGCGGCGTCATGGGGGCCGTTTGAGGCAGATGACCACCACATGCAGAAGCCAGATCCAAGGATAGAGATGCATGTTCGACCCCGCGGCGGGGCGACTTGACGGAATGCCATGCCGCAGGATTCGAGACGCAGGAGGCGGAACGCGGCTCCTTCTCTTGCAGGTTCCCGAAGTTGCATGTTTCGATGTGTACGTGTTTCTTTGTCCGAGGCGACGAATGACCGATGTTTAGACGATACCGTTGTCCCTGAGATGAATTGCTGTCGACAAAGGGATGGCTCCTCTAGCCGCGGTTGGGCAGGGGAGGAAGAGGCCGGCTGGGAGGAGGCCCCGGGCAGGGAGGGAGGTGAGAGGGACGCTGAGCAGGCATGGTTGTGGTGTTGGGTGGTTGCTTGGTGATGATGAGATGGGCTCGAAGGACGAGTTCGCGATGGTCGGTCTGTAGAAGACGAAGATATGCGGTACGCTGCAAGTTGTTGAGAGGTTGAGAGCAGGAAGCTTCGGAAGCAGGAGGGGTGGATGAGCAGACAGGAAGCTTGAAGTGACTTGAAGTGACGAGTGGTGGTGATGCGGTGTGGAAACGAGGGCAGGCCCGGCGCCTTATGTACAAATTCCAAGGCCGACGGACTCCGGAGCTGGCCCTCCAGGCAGTACAAACGACCAGGCAATCTGAGAAGGGGTGGATGACGGACAAGGGCAGTACAGAGAGAGGTACTCCGTGGGTGTACATACACTTTTGCACGTCAGCCCAGAGCTCGCGCTGAAAGTGCCTGATTCAGAGCCGGGGGCCCCTTGCAAGCCTTTCCCGTGCCATTGTGAGGATCCTTAGACACTCCCCCCCCCACACCCCTCCCCAGGCAAAAAGCAGCCAAGCCCCAGGCCCCAGCAGGGGAAGGCAGCAGGGGAAGGCAGCAGGGGAAGGGAGGCCCTCCCCTCGCTAAGGCAGCATGCCTCTGAAAGGGTAATTACTTGCAGCTGCCTTGGGGCGACCTTGGGGCGACCTCGGGGCGACTTCGACCACTGGCCACCGCAAGCATAATTGAAATGGGCAGGCACCACACAGGCACCACACAGGCACCACACACATGGCTGCTGCCCCTGTTGGGCAAGAGCCCGGGCCTCTGGGAGGGCTGGGCGTCAGGCGCGGGTACCTGGGCAAATGTAAGGTACACAGGTCTGAGTCCAGTCGACCTCGGTGTCAGTTTGCGTGTCTGGTTGACCACCAACAAGAGCATCAGGCTGGGTGACGATGACGACGAGGAGCAGCGCAGTCGCAAAGCCGCCCAAACACGGCGACGACACACACACTGGTCTTGCTGTGTCAAGAAATGCAGTGCCATCGCCGTGCACACGGGTTCCGGCACTCTCCCTCCCTTTGTCCGTGTGCTGCGTGCTGTGCTTTTCGTCGTCTTGGGCGACGGCAAAATGGCAGCCAAGCCTCCTTTTTCCTGTTCTTTCTTTGCCCGACCCCGTTTGCTTTTTCATTGTACGTCTCATTCATGTACTGTACCTGCATACGGGGTGCATGCATGCAACATTTTTGCCCTTTGGCCTGCGTTATTGAACGGACGGACACTCTTTTGTTTTTCCCCCCACGGCTGTGTGCGTCGTCGTCGTCGTCCCACGGCTGATGCGGCCTTCCCGGATCATGGAAGCAGACACACGGCGCTCACTCACCCCATCCCTGCCCTGATTGCCTGTTTCCGTTCCCTTACGTGTGGCGGTAATTTCTGTACAACGTGGCGAGCCGGATTGGTGTCGCGCGATTCCAGACACTCATGCCATCACATTCGCCGCCGCCGGCAAAGGCATTCAGCCTCCTCCCTGCTCGCGACAAACGGGAAAGGCGACGCGGCACGGTGTGCGCGCCGGCATCCATTCCATCGCCTCTCTCTCTCCCCCCCTCTCTCTCCTTTCTTCTAATCCCGTCCACGTGGGGGATTTCGTCGGAGGCTCTTGGAGCGCGTGTTGGCTGCTCTCCTTCTCTTGCGGCTGCTTCGGATGGCGGGGGACGCAAAGTCCTAATTTCGCGTTCATTGACAGGACAGGCAACACACGAGGAGCCTGGTTGCACGGCGGGATGCCCAGCCGAGCCGGCAAGTGCAGAGGCAGGCGGCAGATAGACCGAGGAAAAGAAAGGAACCAACGCAAAAAGACTAGAATAGAACGCAGCAGGAGGCTGTCCTGTCACGGAGCAGATGGAGGAGACGTTTGATGAGGGTGGGGATCAATCACCTGTACAGTACCAAGGTAGTAAGTACTAGTAGTACCTGGCTGTCCTTGCAGGCAGAACAGGTGTCTGGAAGGCTGCATGTACCCGTGCGGCAGGGGCCGTGTCGCCCTGCCCGCTGTAAGTGAGATTTGCACATGCCGCTGTAGGGAGCCGGCCATGCAAGTCCCCTTTCTGTCTGCACATGGGCGCATAGCTGCATCAACCGTACGAGCCACCCTCAATTGGCAGCCTGCAGCGTGTCTGACGCTGTCTAGCCGAAACAGCGGACAGACGATTTGCAAGCAAAGCCGCGCCATGATTAACGCAGCGGCTTGTTCGGAATGCTCTCACATCAGACGGCTACGGGACGCGCTCAGGACAGGCAGGGGATGGGCGCCGAGGCCATACCGGCCGGTACTGCATGTAATTAATACAAAGTCGGTCAGGTCAGGTGGCTCTCTGGGGGCCCTGTTCCTGGAGGGGTTGTAGATCCCGGCCAGCCCGGACGGCTGTCTGTGTGTCCGGCTTGTCAGCCTGTCCGAGAGTCCGTGGCCTGACAGCGGCGCCAGTCGAAGAAGAAGGGAGCCTATTCCCCTCCCCCCTGATGTTGTCCTTCTCCCTCACCTTGCAGAGAACCATGACAAAATTTTCAGCGGAAAAAGAAAAGAAAAAGAAAAACGACCGAGCGGGTCCAATCGACGGCTAGCCACCCACCCACTCACTCTCTTTCTCTGTGTGTGCTCGAATTACAGCATGCACCGCTAAAGTCTCGGCGCCCTTGCGCTCTCCAGAGCTGCATCCATAGCTGCAGGCAGGCAGGCCAAGGTAACCTTCGGCTGCACAGGAAAGTGGCACAAGCGGCGCGTTTCGCTTCCTCCTGATCGGCAGG